ACGGGGAGACGGAGACAACCGCCAGACAGAGATGTAGCAGCAGACACAACAAGGGAACGTGCCAGAGGGGAGGACAGAGAGGCGGGGAGACAGGGGGGAGGTTGGGGGGCACAGGGAGACAGCGAGGAGGACGCTGCAGAGGGAGATGTGTGGACACGGGCGAGGGTCACCACCAGAGCGATGCAGACAGAGAAAAAGGAGACCAGACAAAGATGAGCCAAGGGAGAGAGAGAGAGAGATGGGCAGAGAAACACTCCATAGGGAGAGGGCACCAGAGGAAGAAAGTGAGACAGCACAAGGGGGGACAGGGGACCCAGAGTGCAAAGGTGGGGGGATAGGAGACAGGGAGGGGATGTGTGTGGCTGGAGACCAGGAGACAGAGCGACAGACACACAGACACGCATGACAGAGGGAGATGGGCACAAAAACTGGGAGGCAGAAGGAGACCAAAACACATGGGGAGACAGACAGACACGCAGAAAAAGGGGCAGACAGTGTGACACCGGGACATTGATAAGGGCTCCGAGAGACGGGGACGGTGGCATGGGGAGATGGAGCATTGCGGGGGGAGACGGGCAAAGAGACGCTGGCACAGGGAAAATGGGTTAGGTCATAAGAGGGATGCGGCACAACACAGGCAGATGTACTGAGGAAGAGAGAGCACAAGACAGAAAAAAAACCAACAGAGACAGCAGAGGCCAGAGAGAGACACACAGGCACAGCGACACAGGGAGGGAGGGACAGAGACTGACCATGAGGCACACACAGAGACAAAGAAAAGAGAGACAGACAGACAGGGAGAAGACACAGGGATGCCAGGAACACTGAGATGGACTGAGGGAGACACTCAGACACACGGGGAGGGGTCGAGACAAAGGGGGTGGGTGTGTGCAGAACAAGGGAGAGGGTCAGAGGAGAAATGGAGGAGACAAGGGAACAGTCTGAAGGAGGAGGGGCAGAGAGAGGGAGAAAACCCATCAGGGAAGAAACAGAAACGTGGGGGAGACTAGAGAGATAGCACAGGGTTGAGCAATGGGGAGGCAAACAGAACTGAGATTCAGAGAAAGGGAGAGACTGAAATGGAGAGGGGGGGAGGCTGAACAAAGTGACATGGGGGATGACAAAAAGGGGAGAGGGGGATGCATAGACACAGAGTGAAGCCCGAAACAGAGACATGCAGAGAAAAATGAGAACTGACGGGCTGGGGATAGTCACAAAAGGGAGAATGGGCCAACCATGGGAAACACCCACAGGTGAGGGACAGAGGAGGAATGGGAGATGTGAAGGAGGGAGATGGATGAAGAAAGCCATGGAGATGCACACAGATGTCAAGAGGGAAGGCCTGTACAGGGAGGGGGGACTGGGAAAGACAGAGAAACCACACACATGACAGTGGAGGGGAGGGGCAGCAGGAGAGAGACAGGGTGGAGGGGATGGTACCAGTGAAAAACATCAGTGGATGGGAACAGGAAGGGTGGCTGGGAAGGGTGGATGGGCAGAGGGAGACGGGCACAGACACTGAGAAAAGGGGGCCCCCAACACAGTATGGGGAGAGGGGAGGAGACAGGGATCCAAGGGGAGACGCGCCGCAAGGCAGACGCACGCAGACTGGCGCCAGAGAGACGGGAAGGATAAAAAGCAGGAGCCAGCAGGAGATGTGGGGAGATACAGAGATGGAGGCAGCAGGAGACATAGACAGGAGGGCAGTCGCAGAGAGAGGGATGGAGGTGGTGGAGGGAGATGGACAACGAGGCACACAGAGGAAAAAAGGATGCAGACAGAGAGTGGGAGACAGAGAGGAAAGGGGAGAGGGAGAAGGAGACACAGTGAGAGACAACGGGAAGGACCATGAGGGACTGGGACTATGAGGGAGAGATGCGTGTGGGCTGACTGCCTAGAGAGACACGGACAAGGGCAAAGGGGGATGGAGGGTGACACAGAGGGACCGACAAAACAAGTAATAGCAAGAGGAGAAGGGAGAGAGTGGGATGGGGAAAGGGACTCCATGACAGGGGACAGACAGACACTGAAAGTGCAAGGAGGGCAAAGAAAGAGCAAGGAGGAGCAGAAGACAAATGAGGGAAGCCAGAGAGTGAGGGAGGGGGGCTGGTGAGGGGTGAAAGAGAGGCAGAAAGACAGAGACAGACTACAAGTCCTGCAAAAAGTAGAGGCTTTGGTGAGAAAGGAACCTGGGGACAAACGCAGACAGGAACTGTGGCAGAGGGGCACACCCCCAAAGAGAGGGAGAAAAAGTAAGGGAGAGGCAAAAAAAGGAGGGAGGGGAACAAGAGAAGAATCAACAGGCAAGCACCAAGAGAGATGGAGGGAGACAGAGGCACAGACTAGGACAGACCCAGGCACCAAGAAAGGGGATGACAAAGAGGGACAAGGACCAGGGGGTGCGGGCAGAGGGCCAAGATGGATGAAGGGAGCCCAGTGCTGTGAAAGGAAATGCTGGGAAAGACGGAAAGTCCCACACACGGAGGGACAGATGGAGGCAGGGGGCGAGATGGCTGTTGAGGGAGACCGACAGCCACGAGGGGAGGCAGGGAAAGATGGACAGACAGACACGGATTCAGAATGGAGAGATGGGACGGAGGGAAGCGGGCAAACAGGGGGACAAGTGGAGAGACGTGCCATGAGGCAGAGAGAGATGAACGCAAAATCAGCGGGATGCAGAGAATGTTACAGACCCGGGGAGGGAGAGGCAACAGAGATGGACAAGGGGGATGGGGGTAGGGAGGCAAAACAGACAGATGGGGAGACAGAAGCAGGGATGAAGGAATGGATGGAAAATATAGAGGAGGGGACAGGGAGAGACGGAAGGAGAAAAGGGACAGACGGTAATGCAGACACAAGCGGATGTGGACACAGAGGGAGACACACAGATGCAGAGCGGGGACAGGCATGGGGTGACGCAGAACAGGGCCGACTGGCACATGGGGGGAAACAGGGATCGAGAAGGAAAAACAGGGACAGAAACAGACCCAGAAGCAGGCAAGGAGATGGCAAAAAAACATATCGTGCTCTCGCTCTCTGCCTGCCCACCCACGCTCCCAACCCGCCGGCTGCTCGCGCTGCCCACCTTGGCACCATCACCACGGTTTTCCTTCCCTCACTTGGCCCACGTACCTGCCTGGCCAGCCACCGCTACAACCGTCCCCTCAGCAACGACCGGCACCCACCCTTCTAGGCTTCCATCTGCCCATCTTGCCAAACAACGGACTGTCTGGCCACTGCCCTGGCACAACCCCTGGCCCTCACGTGTGTGCTCCTTGCCCGGCCTCTCGTTCTGCCTACCCGATGATCTGCCCCTGCAACCTGTCCCACCCCCACCCACCCTGCCTGGCCCTCCATCTGTCAGGCAAGCTTACCTCTCCTCTCCACAGCCATCTACCCACCCAGCTTCCGAGCTGGCCAGCTGGCTGCACGACCTGGCCAGAAAAAACCCTGCAGCTCTGCCTCACTTCCCCCATGGGGATGTGCTCCCCCCCCCCACCTGTCTACCAACTGTCCCACCCTCCTCGCTTGCTCTCTGGTCATTCCGGCCATCTCCCTGCCCAGCACTATCTCTGTCTCCTCCTCACCTGACCTGCCTGCCAAGGACCCCCATGCTGCAACCCCAAAACATCCCCGTGCACCTGAGATTCCATGCATCCACACACCACCGTCTCCCACACCAGTGAGCCTTTATTCCTGTGAGTCGCGCTGCTCCAATACCCTCCAGTCCCAGCAGATCCCTCATGGCCATTTGCATCTTGCTGATCATGAAGTTGTATTTGCACCCTGTGCTCCCCACGCCATGACCCACCACCCTCATGCACACCCAGCCTCTCCCAGTGCCACACCTCTGTTGCTCATTGGCATGAATCTAGTGCTCTATGGCACGTCTCTGTCACCCATGTCTCGTCCACAGCCCTAGACATGCTGGCCAAAATGTGGGCTTCCTCTGCATGACGGGCGTCCCGGGAGCCTCCCTCAGCCATCAGCCTGCCTGATCCTCCTGTTAAAGGCCATCCAGCTTCTCCCCTGCTCCCCTGACCATATGCCTGACAGGAACGAACCCCGCATCAGCTCCCAGCTGCACACCCCTCCTGGCACCCCCAACTCCTGAGACCCCCTGTGAACCCACTGCACACCCCCATGCCTGACTTGCAGCTGGCCCTTCTCAGCCATGGGACTCCCATATTCCACCCAAAATGAAAGACCCCCTTCCTGCACCCTCTGGGACACCACAGGTGCCCTCAGCCTTGCCCACCCTCCCCACTGCTGCCCACCACAGCATCCTCACCCTGGTGCCCCTGCTAAGGCCCTGCCTGTGCAACAACATTCTGCTCCTGATGAAACTGAGCCGCTGCTCCGTGCCCCACTCGGCTCCCACCATCTTGAGGACCCTCTTTTCCCAGCACGGGGCCTGTTTCTGACCCGGACTCTCCAAGGAGCATGACCTCCCAGTGCAGTGGAACCTGCCCTGGGCATCCTCCTCCTCAAACAAGGACCACACATCCCTTAAATGTTGCTCAAGCTCCCCAACATCACTCGGCTCCCATGACAGCACCAGCAATGCTCTTCCAAAACAAACTTGTTAGACTGGCTCTTAAGAAGTATTTCTTTCCAGAAGGGCTTGTTAGGCATTGGAATGGGCTGCCCAGGGCAGGGGGGGAGTCCCCATCCCTGGAGGGGTTGACGATTTGGGTTGATCCAGTGCTGAGGGATCTGGTGGAGTTGGGAACAGTCCGTGTGAGGTTAGTGCTTGGACTGGAGGAGCTTCAAGGGCTTTTCCAAGTGAGATATTTCGATAAAACCCATCCCCTCCAGCCTGCCCAGAGGGGGAACGTGATGCCCCAAGTCAGCCCTGGAGGACACTCAGCACAGGGGGTGGGACATGAATGAGCTGTGGAACTTCAGGGATGAGGAGGGGGCTTCCCTTCATGCTATTGTGTCCTCTCCACACTAGCCTTAACGCTCTCCTTTGTCTTCCTCTTCTCTCCCCTGCACAGGGCCCGGAGCGGTGCATGACGGCGGCAACGCAGCATCCCGGGCAGCCGCCGGCCTCTGCCTCTGGGCTGCCCTCCTTGCTCGCCTCCTCCTCGACTTTTGATAAGGGAGCGGAGGGTCCCGGGAGGCCCCGCCGCGCCTCTCCCCCGCCACGGGCTTGGCCCGCCGCGCCGCCCGGGGACTCTTCTCCGTCGGACGGGCGATGCGCCGGAGGACGGGCGGCGGCGCCGAGCGTCCGAGGATGGCCCCTTCTCCCGCGTGCCGGGATCATTCTCGCCGCCGGTTACGCTGTACAGACCCCACCACGTGCCACCAGACTGTCACCTGCCACCGTCGCCCCGGGGACACGGTCCGGCACGGATGAGGCTCCCCGCGGCCGCCTCGTCTCCAACGCAGTGGGCGCAGAGCTGTCAGGGCAGGCGCTGCCTGGAGCCGTCACCGGGCACGTCTGTCTTGTTGTCTCGCTAAGCCGCCTATGCCCAAAAAGACCCCAAGGTTGAAGCCCCCTGGCTCTGCCTTCAGCCCTCTCAGTCCTGAATGTCAGTTCTCACCGCCAAAGCTCCTCCCTAAGCGCTCCCAGCATCGCTCGGCCCTTCCTGCTCCCCAGGACCGCGGTGCAGCCCCACCGCAACGCTCGCCGGCCCTTTCCAACAGGGTCACTTGACACGACTAGTTATCCTTCAAGGTCATGCACATCCCCACTGCTATTTCTCCTGGCTAACATCGTACCCCACGTCCCCAGTGACACAAAGCTGCTCTCCCAGGAACGGGAGCCCTGGAGACTGCCGGTGGCCCCTGTGGGGACAAGACCCTTCCCACCATTGCAGCTGTCGTCCCTCCTCGCTCTGGACTCCTGCCCCGTGACTCTCAGCCTGATGCACCGCCGACACTCACTGGGGAGCTTCCTCCAGGCTGGTTTTCCAACCAGCACGTCAAAAGCACAGCACCACCAATGCTGGGCAGAAGCACTAAACTACACAGCAAAACTCTAAGGCCCTTTTGCTACGGCTCCTTGCACACACCCAGAGGGGATGGGACCTCCCCAGTCCATCTCCCAGTGTGGCCTCCCAGTACCACTTGGCCAGACATCCTTCCCAAGGGGTGGAGGAAGCACAGGAGCCAACCCTGAGCTTCTACATCCGCACTTTGGCTTTTCTCATGCCTGACACGTGCCCCTGCCCGAGGCAAGGCCAATATGTTCGACGCTGTGGACAAGGCTCTGTCAATTCTCTGCGCTGGCACGGTAAGGATGACTCCGATGCCCCTGTTCTGCTGCTTGCCGATCCTCCCTGCTGCAACATTCCTTCAACACCAAAATGGATGTGTCCAGACTCTACTCTCTGCTTCCTCCAGGCACCCTGGGAGCTTCTGCCCCCTCCTGCGCAGTCCACGATGGCAGCGGCTACATTATCTCCCTGCGTACCAAACTGCACGCCTGACAGTGATCTGTGCCACGGTCACCCTCACCCATAACGGCAGCCGTGAGCCTTCCCCACGCTCCTTGGATGCTTGTGAATGCTCTGGGGCCATGGTCTGGGAATGGCCCCTCCTGTCCTGCTCCTGAAAAAAAGTCACATGTAGCGCCGGACCCTGTGCCAGGGAGATGCAACTCTACAGCGCTGAGTGAGTGCACAAACCATCCCCCTGTCCTGATGCCTTGCCCCTTCCGTCTCCTTCCACAAGCGCAACGGCCCCACGCACATTGTCTTTCCCACGCAAACCCTGCTGCTGCTGACACCTTCCCTCGCCGTCCCGCTTTCTGCAGCTGCGAGGAAGCTGGGGCCAAGTCCTCAGTGTGCAATATAGAAGAAAAAAACACAAACCCGGAGCCAGAGGCTGTGACAGGCCACCGCGCCATCTCCGATGCTGCCGTGCCCTCTCCTCATCCCTGCTCTCCACAGGCTGCCCGTGACCCACGCCAACTGACACACAGCGTGAGGTTGTCACCAAAAAAAAAAAAAAAAAGCAACAGCTACAAAATCTCTAATGGACATTCCTGCCCCCACACCCTGGATGTCCAACACGTCCCACGGCTGATGGGCAAAAAGCACATGGCCCAAGGAAGGGGCTGCTGCAGAGCTGGCCGGTCGCGCTGGCTTACCTGATGGGCACGGATCCGGCTCGGCACTGCCTGGGCAAGTCTGCGTCCTGCGGTCCCTGTGGTCCTGCTCCGTCTCTCCACCACCATCCTGGAAGGTGGCACTGGCAGCGATCCTGGTCCCACCCAGGCACCTTTGCAGAGCAGGAACGCCACCATCTCCAGCCGGCACGCATGTCCTTCCCTGGGTGCCCACTCCAAAAGTACCCTTAGGCATAAAAGACGCCTCACCCTGACGCCTTTGCTGGTCTGCACCGCCCCATGACAGACCCCTCCCCAACCTGGCACCTCCCGGGGCCAGCCCCAAATTTCTCTGTCCCCGCGGTAGAAACACTGATCTAGCCCCAGACACGCAGGGCCAGAGGCCGTGGCATAGCAGAGAGCGGAGGCAATGACGAGACGCCACGATGAGACCCGGCTCCAGGGCTGCCCCCGCCCCATCCTTCTCCTCCCTGGGCCGGGTCGGCTCCCCTGTCCTCCTCCGCCAGGACGGCGTTCAACTTTCTCGTGCCATGTAACGTGCCATTGTGAGGAACGTGTTGGCTGTCTGAGGCCGGCAGCGGACCCCTTCGCCACCGCTGCTCTCCGTGTTTGGACGCTCGGGGGGTGGCCAGGTGCCCAGGGCGGGGGGAGCGCAGCTCCCAGGTCTCTCCTGCCAATGGCCACGACGGCCGGTCTTCAGTTTCCGTCCATCATTGTATTCCAAGGGTGGCTATACTACCTGAGATTTGTGCATGTTACATTGTAGTTGTAACCTTTTCTAATTCGGCAAGAATAAGAGATGGTTGTGATTGTGCAGTGTATCAATAAAGTTTGACGAACTTTGTACCTTCGGGGCTTTGCTTCCTGGACCCCCCCACGCCCCCCAGGGAGGGATGCGACGCCTGGCACACGCCGTGCCAAGCTGGGAGGGTCCTGAGCACCCGGGACCTCCCTCACTCCCGACGCTTAGTGGGAGCCGCTTTTGATCACCCCCACGATGGCGACACTTCAAGCCCCCAGACCAGGGGCCCACAGTGGTTCAGTCGATCCCTCGCCCCCTCCCGTGCGTCTCCCCCCAAGAACCGGCCTTGTGGCGCCACTGATGGGTCTCGGGTGTGTCCCGCCTCCATCGCCCGCTCGCCGATGAGCACGTACCTGTTGACAGAGCCCCTGCAGGGTAAGGACTGGCTTTGCTCTCATCGCTCACCTACGTGCAGCGGAAGCGGAGTGATCAGGGGCCTCCTTTCAGCGACGGAGCCATTCCCAGCATCTTCTCCGTCAACAAGGCCTGCTCCAATGACTAAACCTACCCCTGCACAAGGGACGCCTCTGTGGATGATGTGCTCCTAAGGGTGGTTTCCTCCTATTGCGATATGACAGTGCACGACATGGACAAAATGCCTTCATCAAAGGACCAGGAGCAGAATGAACCCTTGGCGTCTCCCTGGCGTGGCTACCATCTTGCCCTAAAAAAACTGTGCCCCCCCCACTCCCCAGAGCACGGCTGCACCTTTCCACCCCATCAACGGGGAGAAAAGAGTCAAACTCTCCTAACGTGGGACTGGCTGCTATGAGACTTCAGGACCGGTGTCTTGCCAAGCAGCTTGGGCATGAGCCAGAGGACAGGCATTGCCCGATGGGCTGTGGGTGGCTGCTCCCGTCCTTGCCGTACGCTGCCAAGCTGCTGAGAGTCCCTGTTTCCCAAGGGAAGTTCCAAGGATGCCATCTCTTGGCCAATACAGCCCAGGATGGGAAGGCCACTGGAGGGACCTGAGCCAACCTGGGGGGACCATGAGCTTGCAGGACGATGCTGGATGTGTTGGGGGGGGAGGGCTGCTTCCTTTCTGCGATCTTCTCGGTGGGACCAGGCCTCTCTTCCCCTTCCCTGACAGACAAGTGAAAAGACTCATCCCATGACTTCATCCCCAACCCCGACAACAAGCTGCCCTGCCCCATGAAGGCGGGTGCTTGCATGCAACAGACAGACAAGCGAACGGCTCCATCCCGGCACCGCTACAAACTACCACGAGTCCATGCATCAGGGACACCCCTGCTGTCCCCTCCAAGTAACCCCAGCAAAAAGGTAAGTGCTTCCCAAAACCTACCAGCCTGCCTGGGAGAGGGGTCCAGAAAGGGAGAGCCACCCTGCCTGCCCGCTGCTCCCCAGGGCTGCCTGACCCTGGCAGAAAGTCGCCCAACCTCGGGCATGGGACGAGTGACATCCTGACCTCCATGCTCACTTCCACAACCCCAGACAAGATGCCTTCCCTGATGGTCCCTGCGGCAGGGTGAGTGGCGTGGCTGATCCCTGTGGGAAACCCTCTCTGTTCTGAACCTTTGCTAAAAAAACCCAACCCCATCCATAAGCAAGAACCAGTGTGATGTAACTACAGCTGCCACAAAGCAACGCTCACCCCTGGGCATCCTGCCACCACCAACGGGGCCTCGCTAACACCCGTACTGCTGGGTATCCAGTAACGGACCTGCCTCTGCTGGGGAGAAGCACCTACAGACACCCAAAAGCCTCAGATCACGGCGTATCCCAATGCTTCACCTGCATCATCCCCTTTTATACCATCTCCGAGTACCAGGGAGGCACCACAGCCCCTTCCCACCATGAGTCCAGCCACAGGGTGCCCGCCAGCTCCCTTCCCCGATGGAGAAAGGGGTTTCCTCCATGGCCACTGGCAACGCCCAACCCATACTGAAGGCCAAGGAGCACAGCAGCTACGTCCAGAGGGATGAAGGACCTATTTCAGGCCACGACCTCCATCCCTGCCCGCCACCAAGAGACATACGTACATAGTCAATAAATAGATGTATCCATTAAGCAGCCTCTAACTTGCTCTTTGTCCCTCTAACTCTGGCATCAGACGCTCCTTGATCAGACACCTAGAGGACCAAAAAAATTTACAGAGAAGGCCCAATTTCCTCCATACCCGAGGTCAGATCCCTCCCTGTGCATCTGGGCACTGCCTTTCCCGCCAGGTTCGCTCTACCGCAGCCATCCAGCCTGGCCTTGGAGTTCCAAGATCTGCACAGAGACCTCCACCATTTTCCCTCTGCTATTTTCTCCTCTGGGAGAGGCAGGGGTGCATCTGCTGCCAAGGACAAAACTGGCCACAGTGTTTTCTCCTATAAACCATGGCCACCAGAAGGGTTGGCTCCCACGCGGCTGGGCTGGCCAGCCACCACCTTCTGTGCCATCCTGACCCTGGGATGTAGAAAGCTGCCTGTGTCTGTCTGTCCTGTCCACACGTCCTCGCCACCCTGTCTCTTACTGGGGATGTGCCACAAAGACTTTGAGCGAAGCTCTTCCCTCGCTGGTATCGCTCGGCCTGTCACACCGTGAGGCAACTCCTCGCTGTCCCTTTTGCTCTCTCCCTCTTCTCCGTGCTTATCTCTCGGGTTACACAAATTCATAATGAGTCAAGAAATTAAAAAAACCCCACAGAACAGTCCCACCATCACCAACGACCAGCTGCTGAGACTACAAAAACGTGCTGGGTGGCTTGAAGAAGGCAGCACCCTGGAGGCTACAGTCGAGGCTGAGGACTAAATGCACTGAGTCACCTTTTGTACACCAGCAAAAAACACCCCAAGACAAACCTGACGTGTGCGCCGCCTGCATGGAGAGCGAGTTGCACCTACAGCCCAACGCCGGCCCGCCACGCTGCGTCTGTACACAGCTTTGCATGGGGGCACCCCGTTTCCTACACCCACCTCGTATCGCCGTGTCTCTCCTTCCCCCGGGACTCGGTTCGGCCGCTCTATGACGGGGTGCGAGGGCTGCATGGAAAACTTTTGGGGTCCTGAGCAGCCAGGCGGGATCCTGTATGGGGTGTTTAGGGCAGAGCTGCGCCCCACACCCTCCCCATCTGCTCCCCAAAGCCTTACCTGTGATGGGCTAGCCGATGAGGTCCGGGTGCCGTCTCTCTGCTGCTCTCTTGGCCCCGTTGCAAGGATTCGGTGGTCCCACCTGGCATCCCTCCCCCCACCAGTGTCCCTCCCTATCCCCAGCAGCACAGGGGTGGGGGGGAAAGCGCAGGGAGGCCCCGGGCCCCGCGGCAATGAGCACCACAACCAGACGGAGCGGCCACATGGAACAATCGTTTTAATGGATAGGCAGAGAGAGCCCCCTCGCCGCCCGCCCGCGCCCGGGCCCCCCGTGTGCCCCCCGCCGTCGGCCGTGGGGAAGGAAAAGGAAACCGAAGGAGGAAAACCCACCGCAGGAGAGGCCCCCGCCAAAACGTGCGGCGAGTCGACTGGTCCCGCGTTTTTGGCCGGCGGCTCGGCCGCATGCCAATCACTTTGCCCTCTTTTCCTTCTTTTTTTCTTTTTTTTTTTTTTTTTTTT